GATCACAGATAGATCTTTGACGGGCTGCTCGATCACAGATAGATCTTTGACGGGCTGCTTGATCACAAATAGATCTTTGACGGGAGCTCGATCACAGACAGATCTTTGACGGGGTGCTCGATCACAGATAGATCTTTGATGGGGCTGCTCGATCACAGAAAAATTTAGGATCTGCTCAAATAACGGGGTTTACAGTATATGATGGAACGTTCACTTTACACAGCTGCTCATGAAGATCAGGATTCCCGGAGCTTTGGAAGATCCCGATCACACCTGCGGAGCAGTGGTCTGTGGGACAGGGGCTTCCCATCACCCCCTGAACCGTCAGTGTGACGTCTCCTTTTTGTCCTGCCGCTGCCTGTCTTTTGGGTCATCCGGGGGTGATCCCACTCGGCCTGCCTCACCCTGCTGACTGACCGGCCGCTGGACAGGTTGATGGCCGCCTGGATTGGTGCCGGGTTTAACCCCTCGGTGTCCAGGCCCCAGTCAGAGCCAGATCTCGTCGCTGCTCATGCTGGAGGCCTTGTAGATGTAGCCCATCATCGGGAACCGGTTCAGCCCTGCCGAGACACGGACACCGACACACAGAGCTGACCCGCATGGCCTGCCACACGTTCGAGCCGCCTCCTTCAGAGAGAGGAGGACGCTGCTGGTGGCGGAGAGAAAAATTGCAGGGGGGATGTGTAGATGCAGTTCTGTCCACCCAAACTGTCCGGTGGAGATGCTCTCTTCTCTTCTCTTTACAGCATGGAATAAACCTATTACTTGTTCCTTTGCAGCCTACGCATGCTGACGCAGCTCCCCACCTGAACTACATGTCTGTATATTGTTGTTCCTGTCATTTTATTTCCTCTGTCCCTCTGTACGCCAACACTGCTGCTGTAAAACAACTTGCCTCCAGGGATAATAAAGACTCTCTCTCTTTAGTACCAGGTTCAGGTATCAGTCCTTTTTTTTTTTAAAAGAAACACCGATTATTTTTGTTATGCCCACTTGATTTGAAGAAGCAAATTGCGTGTTTCTAAATAGAGTATTATTATTTCCCAGCCCACAGCTACAATCCCCCTGCCTCACTTGGGGCTGAGTGAAGTGTAGCCAGACTCCTCTGACCCGCCCACCTTCCAGCCACATGTCACAGGCAGCTCAGCCAATCAGTGCTGATAGGAAGAGAGACCAGTCTTTCACCCACAGCCCTACAGTGATTGGAGGAGAGGCATGTCCCTCACCCACAGCCTTGCACTGATTGGAGGAGAGGCATGTCCATCACTCACAGTCCCACACTGATTGGAGGAGTGGCATGTCCCTCACCAACAACACTGTGAGACTGCAGGCACCTGGAAGTAGGAGGAGCCAAGAAAACCCTGAACAGCTATTCCACCAATAACCAGTACTTGGGGAATCCTCTCCACTGCCCTGTGGTCACCGTCAGGAGAAAACGGGCTTTTCCACACCTTGCAGGAAGATCTTTAGGGTGTGAAGATCTGCAGTGCACACCAAGTGATGCTGCTGATAAATATTAACACTGTTTCTAAAAAAAACATAAGAGGTGATTGTAAATACCAGTATAAACCAGTGAACACTAATTTGATTCTCTGGGAGAACACCATTATTAATGTTTAAAGAAGCACAGTGTTAAGAGATTATTAGAACTGTACAACACAGTTTTACTCGATACACACCATCCCCAACACATTGATCCTTCAGGAACATGGTCCTACTGGGTCTGACATCTGTACACAGCGATTCCTGAACGCATCCAGGGCGTTTCTACATCCAGTCAGCCTGTTCTGGGCAAGTGAGGAATATGAGCTTTGCTATTCCTGACTGAAACAGCTTGAGACGATAACGTCATTCTTTTGTTGGGGTTTATCAGGTGCAGAATGACTGATAGGATGATGTTTTGGTGCTTTACTTTTCTTTTGCTTTGCCTTCTTCATTGTTATTATAGGTTATTGTTGGAATTAAAATTAAGTGAAGATCACCTGCAAACATGAGCACCTGTTTCTATCAGGCGCGGATTTCTTGGTTCCTTGGATTTCATTTCACAAGGACTCGATAATCACCATGGATTCTTTGATCAGACCTTGGATGTCCCTGATTGTTTCTGTGATCAATCACGAGGCTCCTCTCCGAGCGCTGCAACTGGGGAATAACGCCCTGTCACTGTGACACTCACCTCGGATAGCATACATAGCGGAGAGATCCTGCTCGGACTGGTCTTTCTCCACCTCTTCCTCCTTCTTCTGCCGGTCTCTCTCCTGCCCTGCAAGGATCAGGGAACAGACACGCAGATGTCCACAACGACAGTTTTCACAGTGTTGTACAGTTCCAGTGTGCAGAGTCTGTGAGTGCAGTGTTGTACAGTTACAGTGTGCCGTGTCTGAGTGTGCAGTGTTGTACAGTTACTGTGTGCCCTGTCGGAGCGTGCAGTGTTGTACAGTTACAGTGTGCCGTGTCTGACTGTGTAGTGTTGTACAGTTACAGTGTGCAGTGTCTGTGAGTGCAGTGTTGTACAGTTACAGTGTGCAGTGTCCGTGAGTGCAGTGTTGTACAGTTACAGTGTGCCGTGTCTGAGTGTGCAGGGTTGTACAGTTACAGTATGCCGTGTTTGAGTGTGCAGGGTTGTACAGTTACAGTGTGCCCTGTCAGAGTGTGCAGTGTTGTACAGTCACTGTGTGCAGTGTCTGTAAGTGCAGTGTTGTACAGTTACTGTGTGCAGTGTCTGTGAGTGCAGTGTTGTACAGTTACAGTGTGCCGTGTCTGAGTGTACAGTGTTGTGCAGTTACAGTGTGCAGTGTCTGTGAGTGCAGTGCTGTACAGTTACTGTGTGCAGTGTCTGTGAGTACAGTGTTGTACAGTTACAGTGTGCAGTCTGAGTGTGCAGTGTTGTACAGTTACAGTGTGCCCTGTCAGAGTGTGCATTGTACAGTGACACTGTGCAGTGTCTGAGTGTGCAGTGACAGTGTGCAGTGTCTGAGTGTGCAGTATACCACTGTACCAGACTCTTCAGCCAGTAGCCGTGGGTTCAGCCTGCACAGTGCTGTCAAGGGGGAGCCTCACCTCTGCACAGGGCACTCAGGTCATTGAGCTGCAGGTTGGAGGGCAGTGACATGTTCTCTCGAGGCAGACAGACAGCATCCAAGCGCAAACGGGACGACTCACTGAGGACAAGAGGCACACAGATCAACAAGAGATCTCAAAAGCACTTAACTGCAGCCAAGATGGAATGACTATAGATTCAGAAAGCCACTGATACAGCACCAGTCCTACACTTCTGAACCACTGATAGGGCACAGCACCAGTTCCACAGTTCTGAACCACTGATAGGATACAGCACCAGTCCTAC